TAACCAGACCCTATACAGGAGATATGCTCCATGGACATTTTTAAGTTTCCCAAATATTTCTATTTTGATATTGTTTAGACTCTTAGCATTGCCACAGAAACATTTTTGAGAGCTCATTGCAAAGGTGGAATTTTGACCAGTGCCCAAAGCCCTTGCTGGCTTTTATTGTTGATGTATTGAAATGAAATAGATATAATTAGGCAGTACAGGTCATTTTCTATAAGGGGAAATTTGTCATGCCCACTGCCAGGGACAGGAGAGAGACATACGAACAATAAAGGATACCTTGGGTTTTGCATTCATGAGAATATATACACAAGAATGACAAGGACATTGCTCCTTCAGAAGACTCAAAGAAACCATTCCTACAAAAATGGTACTAGCTTCCTGTAGTTTATTTTTAGCACCCAAAAGCCATATTTAAAATGTTCTACTCTAAAAGAAATATTATAAATGTAGTAGTCAGATTCCTGCATTGCAGGGTAGAAAGTACCTTAGATCTTTATTTACAATGGTTTCTCTGCCTGTTTCCAGTGGGGGTTTCTCCGCAAATCTGTTTTCTAATTTTTTTTTTCCTACGCCTCTGAACGAACTCCCCGAACTGTTTTGTTAACGACAGAGAAAATATTCGTCTATTCTTGCTTATCCATTTCATTTTAGGAAAATGGAAAAAAATTCTTTGCTTCTTTTCCCTTTTATTTCTAAGAACAGTCTCCACGTTCGGCAGCCGATGTTGTGGAAATACCGAAATCAGCGCTCCGCAGCACCACTGCCGACTTGACAGACTTTCCATAATAAACACTTTCCAGGCTAGCAAATAAAATGCGAGGCTAGGCAAAGAATTTCAAGCATCATACTCACAAGAAAGCTGAGCAGCCTAGGAGGATATTTCACGTTATTGATGCTCTGCTTTAATGTGAATTGGCCCAATCAGCACCTTCCATTTGTGGGGCCGGGGAGTATGTGTGTCCTAATCTGGAGTTGCAGGTGCAGGGGGGCATGCCTCCACCACGCTCCTCTGTGAGGCCTCTTGATGGGGAGGACATTGACCCCGCGCTCTTCGGCCGCCCACAAAGGGGACAGTTTAGCCTGGAGTCCTATTTCCTCCTGGCCACCCCTTTCACCCCAGAGATTCCGGTTTCCCGAGAGTTAGTTAGCTTCTCGCAAGTACCCTGGGGGCATCCAGTTCCCAGATCTGGGTCAGTTTTTCCTGCCGTTTGTTTCCCTGCAGCTAGCCACTTCTTATTCATTAAGCTTTCAAAGTGTGGCGCGCAGTGTCTCCTTCGCAAAACTGTGTGTGTTGGAGGGGGTGGGGAAGGGTGTAGGAGAGGCACAACGTAATCTGGCGTAAAAAGAACATTTGTAGCTTGTGCTACTTTTTAAAAAAGAAAAGTTAAAAATAAAACTAAGATACTCGGTTTAACTTTGCTTTCCAACCGCACGACTCACCGCACAGGGTTCTTAAAATCCTATTAAGAGCGCGGGACCTGAACCGAGCCAGGACACAAGCAGGACCGTTGCGGACTCCTCAGGCCTGAGGTGCGGCTGTCTGGGAGGATCCAGGATCCTGACTTTGCTCGCCCGGAGGGAGGCTGGTGGATACCGGTGTCGGCTGTTCGTCAGACCCACGCTCGGCCCAAGGCCCTGCCGGGACACTCGCTACCTGTGTTTGGTGCGCTCCGCTCTGCTCTCTCCCAGCAGCTGTATAAAACGCCAGGCGGGCGGTTGCTCCTTCTGCCCTACGGAACATGAGAGGGACTTTCAAATGCTCGTTTAGGTTTCTCCTGAAGACATTGAAATGCACGGGTACCCGGAACACCCTGGTCTATTGTTAGGGGCACGTTTCATCGGCACCCAAATAATTACCATAAAGAGTTCTACCAAAAATCAAAGAGAAGCAGAAAAGAAGAAGTGAGGTTGATTGTCACCGAAACTCTCGAAGCCTTCACATTCAGACGCTGGGCTCAGGTGGAAAGCCGCCAGGGAGTATTCACCCCAAACCCCTCCTGTTTCCTTTCGCTCCAGTCTCTAGGAGGGCAGGCACCCCTTTCCTGCCTCCTTTTTGTCTCACGGTTTTGGCACGGACCTTGCCTTGCCTTTCTCTGCCTTGGAAAAACTGGATCGGTTTCTGAGGCCACTCGGGGACTGTCGAATCCGTCCTCCACCTCGCTGGCCGTCCAGCCCCAGGTGAGCGCGCGTCACGCCTCGCGTTCTGTAGCGCGTCCTTATCCAGGAGGGTCCTGTGCCTCTGCGAGCAGCTGTGCACTTCCCACGCTGCGCCCAGGACTCTCAAAACAACGAAGCCAAATCCAGCCAAACAGACATGGAATAGGCGAGCCTTTTTAACTCTTGTGCGTTCACCGCCGGCCACTTCGCCTCTTCCTGGTCACGGGGAGGACCAAGCTGCATCCCGAGAAGGTGGAAGAGACGTTTCTTTTCCTTCTGCAGCCCAACGTTTGGACCACCTTTCCTCTAACCCAGACGGCCTCGGGAACCCGCGGAACCGACAGGGGGCGACAAACTGTAAGCTTTCCCGGAGACTCGCTGTGATCAGACTGCCGTGAGTGCTGCGTGGTTCCTGCACCAGCTGGCTGCTGGAGACATGGGGAGTGGGAGGAAGGTGGGATGTGAAATAAGGGCCAGCGGGCTCTGACATCCCAGAGGGCCCCCAGACGCAGTTTCCTAATCGTCTACCCCAGGCCCTACGGCCTTCGTGGAGGGAAATGGGGAGTTGGTGCCGTCTGGACTGCACCTCCTTGCCAGGGCCCAGCACTCTACTGGCAGATGTGGGGTAATGTTCCCTGAAAACAGCTGGGGCGAACAAACCCTCAGAGAAGTAGCACCGGCTTTATAATCTCTTTTCTGAGCCTTTCTGTCAACTCCTCGCCTAAAAGGGAAAGAAATAGCTTTAGCTGTTTCACCTAATATTGGGGATGCACTAGGTTATGCATACTGCGGTTCCCAGATCCAGGAATCAACCTTTTTGACCTTCCAGGCCTGACTTGAGATTCGGGAAACGAAAGTCTAGATCAGGAGCAAATAGGGTCTAAACAGTCTGGACAGAACTGAACAGGGCGCCTCGCACTGTTCGCAGCCTCAGAGAGCCCCACAGCCAGGGCATACTCAATCTACTCTGTGTCTTTGCAGAACCCCTGGCTCCGGTTTGCCTACCGTATTTCAAACTATCCCTTTAACCTGTCCTTACCCCCACCCTGTGCGGTTGTATACCATCTTACTCTTCTCAAAAGTACTCGACCCTTTGCCAGTGCACAGACAGTCCTCTTCTGGGTCCCTGTGACTTCCCTGAGGTTGCACTACGTTCTCTGTGATGTGGCAGGGGAGAATCCTCACCTGTTTTGAACTTGGGTTTTCTTTCCAAGGATAATTCGTGCCTGTGGCCCGGGCCACAGCCCAGCCGGGCCGCGTACCCTCCCTCCAAAGAGCACAGGATTTATAGTTCAGGCCCTCCTAATTGACACATTCGGGCAGGTTAATTTGGAGCCGGTGACACTCTCTGATCTCTCAGGGGAGGGAAAGGGGTCTGGGCTCGGTTGCTGTTGCTCCCTGGCTGCGCTGATCGGGAGCCACTGCGCCTCCTGCGGCATCACCGGGCAGCTATCTTCTAGCTCCCAAGTGTAAGACTCTGGGGCAGGGGAGACCGGAATTCTTCCCGTCTCCTGAGGAGAGTTGGGAGCACAGAGTTGTCCTGAGAACTGAGGCTCTTCCCAGGCTCCCTCCTTGGGCCCTCTTCCTGTTCCAGTACGTTCAGCCTAAAGACCCTGGCGCTTACTGGCTCCAAGCTGGCAACTCCCTTGTCTGTTTAGGGCAACACCAGGAGCTCTCTCCCTCCACCTGCTCTCTCTCTTGGACTACACCGCATAGCTCACTCTGCTACTACCACAGTTAGCGACACAGGCTGAGAAAGTCCAGAACTGGGCGTTGATGCAACATAGAAATAGAGGAGAGGGCTGACGGTTCCTACCAAGGCTAAAGAGTTCAGGGCTGAGCACTGACCCCCCCTCCCCTTAAACGGAGGGAAAAGGACCATTGAGAGGTTTAATAAAGACCCTCTGGAAACCAAGGATGCTGTGTGAAAGGTAAGGCCAGGCAGTTCAGGTGTGGAAGAATTCCGGGTTCCGGGCCTGGATGAAAGGAACTGTGTTTCTGGCGTAGAGCTAGAGCTACATTTTGCGACCTTCCGACTGTGGGTCTGGGGTCGCCAGGATGCCCCTGGGGTGGGGGCAGCAGATGAAAATCCCTTTCAGACCTTCGTCCTGTGTCACTTCAGAGTGGAATGAGTTCAGGTGGATGGCCTGCTCGCAGGGAGACAGAATCTAGAATGGGCACCTCTCACCACTGAAATAACACCACTATCCCAAGGGAGGGGGGCAGCTATTAAACATGGTAAAGATTTCCTGAAAGCAGGGTTGGAGTGTGGGAAATGGGACATGGCAAATGCCTTGGGCCAGTCACGTTGAACTGCTCATTGGGATGGGGCACTGACACTACACATTGGCCATCTTGCCTTGATCAACTTTAATCCTGTTAATATCTTAGCAGTAATGGTGGTGGAGGTGGTAGTAAAACTAAAACCCAAACTAGTACTAGTACTAAAAAATATTCATCTATTCGAAGTGACTACCTCATCTTTATCAAAACAGGAGAGGTAAAAGTCTTGGAGGGCAGCAGAGCGAGTAGATGGTCTCAGGATCAGCTAGGGTTAGGACTTTGTGTGTGTGGGGGGGAAGGCCGAGGTGGGGGGAGGTGGGGGACGGAGATGGGGGTTGAGGATGGGTTCCGGAGGAGGGCCGAAAGGGGAGGACTTGGGGGAGGGGGTAAAGTTTCACCGAGGGGAGGAGGGTGCTGGGGTGCGATGACGGGAACCAATGAGCTGCCAACTCGCGCGTCTCTTGCACGACTGCCGAGATTGACGTGGAGGACGCGTAAAATTGATCCTTGCACGCTGCTGCCTCCGGATCAGACGAATTTTTCTTAATCGGATGAAGTTCACCCTGGGTCTGGGGTCGCAGGCGTGGAGAGTGTCTTGGGAGCGAGCGGCGGAGGCCGCGGCTGCCGCTGGGGCGGCAGCGGACTCCGGAGCGGGAGTCAGCGAGCTTGGTGGCGGCGCACAGCGCGTTTCCAGCCCGCGGCCGGGTTGCCGCGACTCTCGGCTCGCGCTCGCCTTCCCTCTATGCCTCTCCCGCGGCGGCGGCGCCCGAGCTCTCCCGGACTGCGCCGGGCCCAGCCCCGGCCGCCCAGGCTCCAGGCAGCTGGCTGGCCCGCGCGCCATGGGTAAGGGGCTGGAGGCAGGCAGGGTGCGGGTGGGCGGACGAGGCGGGTTGTGTTCCGGCGTTTCCCTTTCCTCTCGCCTGTTTTCCCTTGGGAGAACCGGTCCTGGATTATGGACGAGCCGCGTTTTCCCCAAGTTCTCAGCCTTCTGGGCGAGGTGGGGGCAGTTCAGCGCGTCGCGGGTTGGGAAATCCCAAGTGAGACGCGTCGAAAGGACACGGAGCGTTGTAACGCTCCGCGCCCTCCTCCCGGGTCCCCACGACGGCCCTCTCTCCCGAAGGCATACCCAGGCTGTTTGCTGGCGTATTCTAGATTTCCGCGGGGCACTTTCTGAGGCGCGCCTTGTTGCGGAGCCTAGCCCGATACAACCACCCTTGGCTAACCCGCTGGTTGTTTCTCGTTCTCTCGCTCACCGTCCTCGGACGCGTCCGCAGAGCAGACCTACGGCGAGGTGAACCAGCTGGGCGGCGTATTCGTCAACGGCCGCCCCCTGCCCAACGCCATCCGCTTGCGCATCGTGGAGCTGGCGCAGCTGGGCATCCGACCCTGTGACATCAGCCGGCAGCTTCGGGTATCCCATGGGTGTGTGAGTAAGATCCTGGCGCGCTACAACGAGACAGGTTCCATCCTGCCAGGGGCCATTGGAGGCAGCAAACCCCGCGTCACCACCCCCAACGTGGTTAAGCACATCCGGGACTACAAGCAAGGGGACCCTGGCATCTTTGCCTGGGAGATTCGCGATCGGCTGCTGGCCGACGGCGTCTGCGACAAGTACAATGTGCCCTCCGTGAGCTCCATCAGCCGCATCCTGCGCAATAAGATTGGTAGCTTGGCTCAGGCCGGGTCCTACGAGGCGAGCAAGCAGCCTCAGCCACAGCCGGCGCTGCCCTACAACCACATCTATCAGTACCCCTACCCCAGCGCCGTGTCGCCCACCGGCGCCAAAATGGGCAGCCACCACGGGGTCCCGGCCACAACAGGCCACGTCAGCATTCCCCGTTCATGGCCCTCGGCGCACTCGGTCAGCAACATCCTGGGCATCCGTACGTTTATGGAGCAAACAGGTCAGTTGTGGAGGCCTTCTGTAACCTTCTTGGAAGGGGCAGAATTAGAGATTGGGGGGTGGACATGAGGGCGAGGGGTCGCCCTCCTTGGACCGGTTTGGCACAGGGGAAGGCTAGGGCTGGCCAGGGAGGCCGAGGGTCACCAGCCTTATGAGGGAGCCCTCAGACATCTTGAACATTTTATGACAAATACGGAAAATATTTCCCAAATGGAAGAGCAATCTCCGACCACAAATTCAGAGGCCTGAAATTGCGTTTTTTCATTCTTGCAAAAAATATGCAAACCCCTATCCCAGATCTAGTCCAGACAAAACTCAGTTAATTCTTCAACTTTTTCTTAAGGGTCTTTTGGTATTCCTCAGTTTCCCAAAAGGTTCTGCCTCTCCCAGGCCCAAAGGCTCTTTTGGGTAAAAGGCAAAGGGGCCACATGGCCTGACCTATCTAGTGACCTACATCTCAGGTAGGCCTGGCGTCATTGCAGGTTCTGGAACTGGGATCTCCATTGATGGCACCCCAAGGCCGCAGCCATCTTCGTCTTCTGGGCGGAAGCTCACAGGATTTGCCCTTTGCCTGTAATTAAAACTCAGAAAACTGTGGTCATATCTCTCAGGGGAGAGACGGGGTAGACTAGGGAGAGATGATTGGGGAGGCCTTGGTGCAGAGCTTGGGAAGATGATGTGTGGGCCAGACTGAGTGCTCTGTTTCTTCTAACTGTCCTCTGCCCCTAGAAGCCAGGCAAGGGATGGCACACTCTTATGTGAACAGGCTGAGGAGAATGGTAAGAAGAAAAACTCTCTGTAGCCCAAGAGAGGAGGGGATAGGGGCAGCGGAGAGAAATTGAAAGCTTAGCCCCTGTGGCAGTGGGGAGTGCTGCTGAGGCTGCACACAAGGTTTGTTTCTTTTGGTGGCTCAAACCCAGCCTGGGCCACTGGCTGGGGCAAAGCTTCTCCTGGAGCATTCTGTGGGCAGTTAACTAAGACATGGCTTTACCAGGTCTGCGCTCAGTTCTGGAGCTTTCTTTGGGTTTCTCGCATGTGCACACACATGTGAAAGAAGTAGACACATGCCGGGGATGCATGTTGGTCACTGGGTTGATGCCTCTTTTGGGAGATCCCGGATGTCTCCTGAGGTACTTTGGAGTAGAACTGTCTCCCAGTTTTCCAGACACTTGCTGAGACTTTGAGAAACCCATATAATTCTCACGAGCCTGCTTTGGATTTGAACTTGAACCTTACTGGGTGCTGCCTCTGGATAGCCTGCGGAAAGGCGCCATGGCTGAGTAAGCTCCTTTCTCAGAGGCCACCTCCCCCCAGACATTTCTTTTTCGGAAAGCTGGTCGCGGGCTTTGAGGAGCAAAAGCAATCTTTGCCCCGCTAGGAGTAAAAGCGAAATCTTGCCCTCTGTTGGCTCTTCACCGTGGCTCGCTCTCACTCTTGCTCTCGAAGCGTTTGGTGCCTCGGGTATTTGCAGGACCCTCGGCTGCACTCTGGGAAATGAACTAAGTGCTTGTAGGCACTTATATAAAGAACTGGCCAAGTGCCGCGCTTATGCCTAGCACAGATTTGGATGTCCCTACTAATCAGGTCCTGTGTCCCCTCAGGGACCTTAGCTGGGAACGAAGGTGCCACCTACTCCCCGAAGATGGAAGACTGGGCCAGCGTGAACCGCACGGCCTTCCCTGCCACCCCAGCAGTAAATGGGCTCGAGAAACCTGCATTAGAGGCGGACATTAAATACACTCAGGTAACCAAGGGTCAGGGGAAAGAGATGCCCTTAATTAGATGAGCAGAAGAATGGGGGTGGGGAGGGGAGTTAGGGGAAAAAGAAACAGAAAACTCCCCCAGGCCAGGGGCCTCACGATTTCTGGCAACCAGGCCACCCAGCGCCTACGCAGCATTTTCTCTTATTTTCTCAAGGACAATACTTTGTGTGTGTTTAGCGGGCGGTGAGGTTGGTTTTAGAGGGGATTGAGTTGCCTTTTGCCAAGATGCTTCTGCCATAAAAGCTTGAACCTATAGCACAGATGGTTGAGGACTCTTTACATTCCGGTTGGTGAATACCATGATCCCCTTCACCTCTTATTATTAATAACAATTTGAGTGAAAATCACTTTGCCAGAATCATTGCTAGGAAAATTAGAGGCCATACTTTGCATGGAGATTATTGAGGGGACAGAGCAGGAAAGAAGGATCTCCCGCCTCAGTAACTCCTTATGCTGGAGAAGACGGAGAGATTGCCTGCTGATGGTCTGTCCCTCTTCATTTTCACAGTCGGCCTCCAGTCTTTCTGCAGTGGGTGGCTTCCTCCCGGCATGCGCCTACCCGACCTCCAACCAGCACGGCGTGTACAGCACTCCGGCGGGGGGCTACCTCGCTCCGGGTCCACCGTGGCCTCCGGCGCAGGCCCCCCAGCTGGCGCCCTCTGGAGCCAGCGTCACCGTGCACGGCGGGGAGCTCTCCGTGGCATCGATGACGATCAAGCATCCCAGCCGAGAAGGTGAGGTGCATGGGTGGGAAAGCAGAGCCAGTTAGGAAGGGTTCAAAGGGTGGGTGGGGTGGTGTAATCATGGGAAAAGGTAGCGAGAGAGGTTTGGTACTCAGCATAAATCTCTCCTTCCTCCAGGTTAACCTTGTAGCTTTCTGGAGCAAATTGATTTCTAACAGGTGTATGCCCTAATGCTGTGTAACTAGAAAGGCAGGCAGAGGTTGAGGCCTAGGACTACCCCCCTCCACCTGTAGGGAGAGAAGAAAGAGGGTCAGGTCTGGATTTAGTTCTTGTGCCCTTGGCCAAGTAATTGCTTCTTTCTGTGTCTCATTTCTCCATCCATAGAAGGGTCTAGAAGCATCATTCAGGCTCATCTTTCTCTGGCCTGAGAAACTTCACCTTTTGTGGTGGACCTGCTCTGGTACCTGGACCTGAACCTGATTCTTCCAGGCACTGCCCATCGGTTTCATTCCTGGTTCCTTTTTTTTTTGTTTGTTTTAAATAAACAAAACCAGAAACAATAACAACAACAAAAACAAAAAACCTGGACTCTCATTCTTGGGAAAAGAGCATTTCATTCGTGTGTCCCTGTTTAGACTCTGAACTCTGTATGGTTTGGAGTACTTTCTGTGGCTGGGAGTTCTCTCTCCTCCTCCCCCTCCTCCATAATAAGCCAGACTAACAGATTTAAGGTATTTAGTTGTTGGTCTGGTTTTCTTATAAATTTGGGAAAGCTCATCTGCCCTTGAGTCTTCATTTTCCTCACATTGAATGGCACTTGCATTCATGACCCTTTTACCATTATATTCACTTCTTTGCTAAGGTGAAAGGAGTAGCAGAATTTGCTAATTTCAAAGAACCTGCCTACAGTGGGTTCTGACCACCAGAAATATGCAACTTCAACTACCCTGAGAAAGGAAGGAGCCACCTAAGGGGGTTCCAGCATCAGCAGTGAGGGAGACAGAAGAGAAACCTTGGGGTCAACCGGGGGCAGAGGGGTGTTACAGAAGGATCTTTACCAGTCAGATCCACTTTGTACCTACAAGCGTGGAAGTGGCGGGGGAGGCAGGCAAAAAGCTTTATTCCCAAGGAGACACAGTAGCCTGACTTGAATGTGTGTGAGAGAGCGAGACAGAGAGGCACAGAGACAGAAAAAGAGATTATTTAAGCTGCCATCAATAAGTCAAGTAAATCAATAAAAAACAAAAATATATTTTATTTTCACTATTCCTAAAGCACAAACATGGAATACAAATTACAAAAATTGACACTTAGAACTCTTTCATGCTTTAAACTAAATTAAAAAAATACAATAATAACAGTTGATCATTTATGAGAAAATCGAAGTAAAGGAAATTTAAAAAAATTAAGAATTAGAACTCCTCTAAAACTTTACAATTAAGGAACAATAAGGGGTCTAAGGTGAGTGCTTTGCTCAGTCTTTCCTGACTTGGCCCCAAATCTACCTGCTTTCTAGACAACTGATGTCATCTTTGAATAAGAAATTGAAATGGAGTTTACCTTGTTATACAAATCATTTAACTAAGCAGGTTCATTTGAATTAGAAAAGTGTATGCACAAATTTAAAAGATTTCTCCCAGGGCTGATCTCCAGGAGAAAGGAGATTTAGAAAAGGACTGCTTTTTCAGAGCAATGTAGTCCTTTGCTAACAGAGCCACTTTGTTCTGGGGCATTTCAAGCTTAACACTAGAAACAAATTATGACCCACAGGTAACAATCCAAAGGTAAAACACAGTTCTGAATTCTAAACTAATTTGAGTTAATAGGGGTGGGGATTTATTCATTTTCTTTAGAAGACACTTAAAGAAATACAAAGCCATTGAATGGCACTTGCATTCATGACCCTTTTACCATTATATTCACTTCTTAGTATGAAACAAATCACTAATTTTCAAAGTTCATAGCAATAATTAGCTACATTACTTATATGAAATTAATAACTTAATTCCCTGATCCTCACAGTTTTTTAAAGATGTAGGTTAAAGATCATCAAATAAATGAGGCCTGTCATTAAACAATGATTTCTCAAAATGTACACAAGCGTTTGTCTTTGAACAAGGAACACAAAAATAATAAGAGTTACATATCTATTTGGGTTAAGAATTTTTATTCTTACTGGCAGAAAAGCTGACTTCAAAGACCTTCCACACCTCCAACTGGCCTTTGAAAAAAATTACAAAGCAAAGTAACCCTAATCACTACCTTTTCCCCCACCTAATGATTGCTTTAAAATTATATTTAAACAATGCCATGGGACAATTACTATATTTAATTGTTCAGTTAATAAAAATAGTAGGAATAGCATTTATTGAATTATTTTTTCAATAGGAAAAAATTTCTTTACTGAAAGCAATTTAATATCATGAATGTTCAGTAAAAACAAATATTTTTGATCCTCTAGTCCATATATCCTCCAAAGCAGGTGCAAATGAATTTAAAGGTTACCTTAAGAATAGTTTAATCAAATGCCAAAATAAGCATCACAATTTATGAATTTATTCCTGGTAAAGAGTAATGCCTATGGGTTCCCTATTAGGTAGGCAAGAAAGTATAATTTATATTACCCATCTGTGAAAGCAAACTTTAATTCTTGGGAACCTAAGGAACAGGAAAGTTCCAGTTTATCTACACATTGATAGGTCTGATTTCCTGGGAATCTCAATTCCTATCCAAATGTCTTTTCATTGACAAGGCAGGACCATTTCCTCCCTAACCCCACAGGTGATAGACATCACCAGATGTTCCCTTAAGACAACTAGTATTTACAGCATGTTTTCAGAAGACTTCAAAACCTCAAAATCCTTCCTAGTGGAGGTCTGAAAAGACTAAAGATTTGGAAATCAAAACTATAAGGAATTGCATAGGTTTAAAGAAAATTTTGTTTATGTTTGCTACAGATAATTCTCATCTTCCTTCCAGTTATCTTTACTCAGGATTAATTCTTGAAAAATCGATCCTAAAAGCAAACTTTGCCAGAGAGCACTAGGGCGCAGGCGTTTTCCTGAGCACCCAGCCTCTGGCAACGAGGATCTCATTTGACCCAGACCTGGGATACTCCTCCCCAGACCTCCCGCCTTCGTCCACCCTCACCCTCCGCGCCCCCCAGCCCCCATGATCCCAGTGGCCCTGAAATTGCTGTCCTAATATTTTAAAAACGCGTGTCCTGCTATTAAGTTAAAGCTCTTGCAAAGAGTCCAATGCCCTGGGGCCCCAGCCTCTGATCCACTCTCATTGTCCTGGATCATGTGGTGGGAGAGGAAGGTAGGAGGGACCCTATGGGGAGGAACTGGCATTGACAGAGCTAAAAACGCAGCAACATGATTTGCCCTGCAGAAGGAGTGGAATCTATCTCTGGGCTCCAGGGTGTTATTCTTCGTGATTTTTCTCACTTGTCTCTCAGGCAACTGGCCGTAGGCTCAGAAACCTCCTCAACTATTTTCTAAACAGATCCTCACCTTGAACTATGTGTACAGAGTGGAAAGAAGAGGTCTGAAAACTTCGTTGGCTGAGTGGCCACAGGTGTTTAGAAAAGAGAGCTGAGAGGTGGTGTCGGGGTGTGGGGTGAGACGAGGGAGGTGAAGCAGGAGAGCCGAGGAGTCACTCTGCATAGGAAAGGTCTTTAGACCCCTTCAAAACCCCCGAGAAACCAGATGTGCCTGCTTGCCTCTGTGCGTGTGTGTACGTGCGTCCCTCGGGCAGAGCTGTACAGCCCAGCTCCTCACAATCGTGGTAGGTTGCCCCTGGGGTAGGGGCAGCTGCAGGGAAAAAAAATTCCAGAATTCCCTTTACCCCAAAATGAGGTGCTCCGAGCGCCCTCTTCAAAGGAGGACTTGGTGGGGGGGGGGGGGATAAAGTTGAAAATAGGAGCCTTTAAGTATAAACAAATTTGTGCCGCCTAGTACAGGAGAAGCTGAGAGGCTAGGGATCGGGAAGGAAAAACAGAGGTTGCGCAATGGTGGTGTCACTTTTTTGGCTTCCAGTAGCAAAACTTGGGCCCCTATCCAAACCCCAAATAAGAGAGCACTGCACAGAATGCCACCTGATTTGGCAAACCTACTGTCACTTAATTTCGTGTCCCCTAGGCCCCAGGATGTGCTGTGCCCAAAGTGGTGAGAGAATCTGGATTCTCGGGCCGCGGAGGAAAACGAAGTCGGCAGCCCCCTTAAGGAGCAGCCACTTCCTGTATGGAAAGATCCTAGCTGCCCAGAGACCTCCACAAGGGGGGCCTCTGGTGACCTGCGCCGACTCGATTTCCTCCTGCCTACAGAGAGCGCCTCAATCCGCTTTGAGGAACAGCGGACCTGATGCACAGGCAGCCAGCTCTTCGGGCTTGTGCAGGCCGGCTGGGGTCTGGAGTGGGTGGGTGGGGTTGGGTGGAGTGGTGTGCTAATCTTAATTCCTTGCTCCCTTCCAGAGAGGCCTCGGATCTGAGAGCTTCCCAGCCAGGGAGTGCACGGAGCGGCAGCGCAGCACCTCCCTGCACCCACCGCCTTCTTTGTTAAACTCATTGCAAAGAGAATTGTACTGGGTCAGCGGTTTGGGAGTATCTGCAAAATGGCCTTGGGAAGGGAGCCACTTGCTATGGTTGCCCTCGCAAGTGATTCCCTTAGGGGAGGAGGAAGAGTGGGCACCGACCGACGCTAGGGGCTGTTTGAGAGAGCAGGACTCTGCTCCCTCCTTCCAAATCTCTGGCGTGTATAGCGCGTGCCACTTGTTCACCCCGATCCTCGCCTTGCCGTCTTGGTTTGTGGGCGTCCTCGGCGCCCGATCTCTGGCTCTGAGCAGCGCCATGCAGTGACCTGACGCCCCTGTGCTTCCTCCCGCAGTGGCCGACCGGAAGCCGCCCAGCCCCGGCGGCAAGGGCCCGGACAGCATCAGTAGCTTACATGGACTGCCCGTCCCAGTATCGACCTCGTAGGGGTACCAGTGCCCGGAGCCCGAGCCAGGAGGAGGAACCGGAGCAGCCTGCAGCCAAGAAGCGCAACTCAGCTCTGCGGCCCTGCGGCGCCTCGGGACCGATGGACACGCCGCCAGGGGCGTGCCGGGAGCAGCCCGCCAGGGCACGCCCTGTCAGCCCTAGGCCTCGTTCTGTTCCCTGGCCGTGCGGCCACACTTCAGTCATGGGTCAGGATTTTCACGCTTTTCTGAACTTTGGTTTTCGACTGTTGCATCCATGCCGTGACATTTGCTTCTACGTGGCCTCCTTTGACCATTTTTTTTTTTTCCTCTGTCTCCCAGGATTGTCCGGAACTCTTCCTCCCTCCCTCTTTTCCTCTTACCCAGTTCACCCTTGAGTCCCTTCTTTCTTTCCTTCTTTCTTCCTTCTTACCGTACCTTCCTTTCCTTCCTCGTTTTTCCCTTCCTTTGTCCTTTAAAGTTCTTCCTCTTCAGCCCCTCTGCTTTCCTCTCTCTCCCCTTTCTGCCCTGCCTACTGTGCTCTTTCCTGTGTTCCAGCCCCGTCCACCACCTCTCTTTCCAGCCTTTTACAGACAACGATTCTGTTTTTCCTTATTCCTACTTATTCCCTCATACCCAGGAGAGCCTCAAACGGATCGCTGTTGACAGTCCCTCCTCCAGCAGCTGTGACTCCTTAGCCCTCCACCCACTGTATCCCCCAGCCCTAATGAAGGGATCTGGAACTTAGAGAACAAAGGCGCCATAGCTTTTTATATTTTTATAGTAATGAACTGGAACAAAGTCCCATGAATTGTCCTCTCCCTCCCTTCATCCAGGATATTGTCTGGAAATCTGTATATTCTCGGTGCTCAGTGACCAGTCTACTCTTTGCTTCCTCTGAGATGCTGTCACCCCTAGGAAGACTGGGGTAGGAGAAGGGGGCACCAGGTCATTGATGTTTTCTGTACTTAGAAAACTGCTTGCCCTGGAGGTGACTCTTCCCGTCCCTGTACATCTAACAACCTGAGGGAATCTGGCACATGATAAATGCATAAGCACTGTTTCTGATGTTTGGTGGGAGGAGGGGGGCACAGATCAGTACATTTGTTAAAACTGCAGACTGCTTCCATGTTACAAAAATGCAATATGGTTTCTAGTTTGCAAAGGATGATGGTAAGAAAACCCTGGAAAGTGCCTTCTAGAGCTGGACACAAGAGCAGTTAACTGCTTCCAAGTTCAGGCATACTGGTGGTGGGACTCTGGACATAAAATGGCAATTTTTGTAGTTGTGAAAATGCCACTGGTGATAGTCTGATATCACCTGTTAAATGTAGCTGCCTTTAAATAAAGGAAAGCATCTGAACATTTTGTAAGAGTGAAAAAGTCTATGTTCAGTCTGGAGTGTTGCGTAGGCATGCCTCACCTACTCAACTTTAGTTTCCAGCATGAGCACTATTAAGACAAAATTATTTTGTTGGCATATTCATTAGCACTTACAGCCAGATTAGGCAGGAGGTGGGAGAGAAAGTGAAATGGGAAAAGTATTTTCAGAAATTTCTCCCAGGAAACTCCAGGTCAGCCCTGGGAAACTGAGGTAGAGAGGCAATATGAAGAAATCATCCTAAGTGAAGTTAATTCTAAGCGGAATAAAGTGGCCAATAGGCAGTGAAGAAAAAATGGAAGACTTTTTCAGAACATTCTGAAAGCTAAAGAAAATTATCCCAGGCTACCAAATAATCTAGGTATTTCTAATTACAAAGGGGTCTCTGGCTAGTTGTTTTGTTCTTCCTTCTTGTGTTTGGTTTTCTAAAACTAACAGAAGAGATTTTTGAATTGAAGGTTTTGCTTGTAAGTGGAGCTGCCTGTTTGGATGTGTGGAGGGAACCAGTGGAGACATTTTTTTTTTTTTTTTTGTATCTTGCAGTCATACCTCCTGAAGGTGTTAATCATAATGGAATATCTGCTTTTTTAATATAGAAACTTTCCACAGGTTTCAAAGTCTCTTACCTTTAAAAACGGTTTCATTGTATAGATAAGAATATTGAAGGCTAGCCATTTAGTTTATTTTCTCCAACCTCTACAGCAAGCTATATATTACACGGTTTGAGCATGAAAATGGGTGATCCCATCTCATCAGAGAGCCAGGATTAAGGCTTGCACTTTGAGCCTGGGGTCTTCAGCCTACAGTGTTAGCATTTTCTGCAGAAAAGCTGGTCACAATGATAATAGGAGTAAGTATGAAAAAGAAACATGCTCTCAAATCCTCTGTCCTCTCAGCCTGTTATCACTTGCTTAGATGAGCTTTAGGTGCTTACTCATCCATAGGATTTTCATGTCTCTTTCTGCTGCCTGGAGGAAGACTGGCTTGCTTGGACCAGGAAAAAGGCATTTCATCCCTTTCTGAAGAAATGAGAAGAATCTATATAACCAGCCTCTATCTCTGAGTTGCCTCAATCCCCATTTTCCTGTCACTTCCCATTTCTGTGTTTGGGTTGCCCGGTGAAGGGTGAAAAGAACTGGAGAAAGCAATGCAGCATGATGGAAGGTGCCTGGTTGTAAATGTCACCTTCAAAGTGAGGAGCTTTTTAAATTTGTCCCCTGTGGTTCCCTATAACCTCTGGCTGGAGGTGAGTCTTCCCAAGTTCCTTGGCTCTGGGATGAGCATTCACAGAGAAGGGGAGCATACAGTCACAGTGCCACCTTTCATGTGGGATATGTTGAGATATCCCTTTTCTCTTAAGGCTGAGGGCCAGTAAATGTGGGTTAAATCTGTTTCACCAGAGTGTGATGGAGGCCTGTGATATCTCTGAACCTTCATGCTTCTATCTGTGAAATGAATGCTTCAGTGGAGTGACACCCACAGTGATCTGGCCTGGAGAAAGGCTGTCCCTGGAGTTGTTTCACCTTCCTGGAGATAATTTTGCTGTTAACAAAAAGTAGGAGAGTCATTTCTATGGTTGATGGGGGACCAAGAATTTAAATATTTTTCAAACTCTCATTGGAATATTGTATTTTTGTTCTCCATGAATATGGATCTATGAAGGTACTAGGGACTCATGATAAAATTACATAGTACATGTCAGATAACATAAATTGTAGAAGAATTGCTCCCCAGAGGCGACTTGTCCTTGTCCTAGCACCTGCCTTTTAATTTTTTTTGAATTTAAGGTGTTTTTTTTTTAATGTAGAGAAGTACTAAAAAACATAAAGGACACAATCACTAAAATAACTATTTGATTTTTTTAAAGAAGCAAAGTAATATATGTATACACACACACACATATACACACATATATGCACACAGACACACATCATTAGAAAATTTTAGCAGTACCAAAACATTGAGGTGAATGTGAAAGTTTCTTTCTACCTCATCTACATTCTTAAAGGTGAACTTTGTAACAGTCTTTTATGAATACTTCCGGGAAAAAAAATGCAGACAGCAGAATATTTCTGTTTCTGTTTCTGTACTATTTAAAAGCGTACAAGGAGCTGTGATAGATACACACAGACATGGTCTGGAGAGCTGATCTTTGCATACCAGGAGCTTCAGCTCCACTGTATTGACTTTGTTCTATTGAATGGATGCATATCAAAAAGGGATCATTAAAAATAGCATTTGTAAAGAGGGCCAACTTCATGCTTTAAATGAATAAAGACAGAATTTTGTTGCATTCATTATTGGAGAAAGTGCTTAGAATGGATTGCGAGAACTTCTCAAAGAAAGACGGTGGCTGCTTTTTGGAAAGGAGGAAGGGAAGCAAACCAAAGTAAAGGAGACAGAGGGACAAGAGACACAGAGCATTGTCTTTCATGAAGACAAGCTAACTTTTTCTACAAATCATTGAAGAGCATCCAAAGCTGCAAGGGGCTGGTGAGTGCCATTTTCCTGTCCTTGAAGTGCATCTAGGTTTTCTAACCTAGAGATAGGTTAGAGATAGACAAAGGGGTGAGGAAGAACTTCAAAGAAATATTAGATAAGAATAATGTGTAAAAACCAACACTGGCACAAGCATTCTTTTTACCTGTCTCAAGTTCACTTGAAATTCTTGTGGAATTAGCCTCCTGATGGATGAAACTTGCTTATTGACACACATGTTTTCCTGTTTCTTTGTTCCTTGACTCCTGGTAAAGAGGTTGGGATTTACTTAATTGAACAGTGGTCTAGGTGAGAGCACTCTGTAGGTTTACTGGCATTAGCTTCTCTAGCGAGAATTATTGCAGTGCCTGGGCTCCTTTTCTGAAGAAACTCTACCTGCTCCATATTATGCTGGATAATATGAATTTAGAATTTTGCCAAAATGTGCCCAAGCAGCACATGAAAAGGTTGTGCATTGAGACAGGCTACGTAATAAGAAACATTTGATTCTCATCTTTTAATGGGTGGGAATTATGCACAAAATGGTATTTGGTCTTCACTTTGACCTTCATGTCTGAACTATAGCCTCACTCACTGAACAAATATCTTGTGACTGAGATATTTTTGGCCAAACTATTGGAAATCAACTAAAAAAAACCCTCGTCTGTTACTGATTTTTTTCAAAGGGCAAAGCAAGGGGGAATCACACTGTCTTCTTTTTCAAGGCATTAAAATGAGAACCACACATTTAGTTATGATCCAACATGGGAATTCTAAACACTTGGAACAATTATAATCAATTTATTCTACTGTCTTCTTTGGAGTTGAAACTGGTTGAAACTCCTGATTCACTCTAAAGCACTTTCTCCAGGAGAAGCAGTCTGTGATTCTTGGAACACACGTCTGTTTCTGGACTAGCCAAATCCAAAAGTGGAATCCCAATTACAGTTTTCTTGGGTGATGAAATTTCAACTGCATTAGAATTCAGCCATCTGAGTTGCCTTCACTCTGTTTTCTTCTCAAGGATGAAATAAACTGATTGAGCTATTAAATTACATCCTGTAACATTTTATTTCCTTTTTCTCTGATGAGATATATTGGCTTAATGGATTAACTCCAGCCTCTTATAACTACCACATAATATTCCCTTTTGGGTGTTCTCC